CTCCAGTCCAGCCCCTTCTGAAGCTCCTTCCATGAACAAAACCATTACAGGGAGGAAAGGAGTGTCAGATATGACGGGGTCCAAGAGCCGGAAGAAGTCTGAGCTCTCCCCTGTGTCCTGTAATCTCCCTGGAACTCTGTCTTCTCAGCTGAAATGAGAGACAACCCCCCTAAGCACATGACGAGCTCTCCTGAAGACTGCTGTGCAAGCAGAGTGTGTGTGTGTGTGTGTGTGTGTGTGTGTATCCTGGCCCCTCTTGATTCTGGGGAATAAAAAAACCACGCCTGCTTCTCGCAGGGAAGAGATGAGCAGGAAGAGTATCTACGTGCATGGAGGGCAAGATGGAGTGAGCACCATATTTATAGGACACAAGCCCTGGCTTCTGGAAAAACTGGAAACTATTTGGTCAATCAGGGTACATAGCACCATGCCAGTGAAGGATGGAGTCTTTAACCGATGCCTACATTCACCTTCTGACTATGGTGAGTCCAGGCTGCAAGTTCTGCAACCAAAGCACTTGCACATGTGTATCGGGCATAGAGGGGAGACTGGTAGCCTTCTGGTCAACATCCCTGTGGCCATGACATAACCATCTGAGATTAGCAACCCTGGGCTATTGCAGAAGGCACCTGAAAGCTAGAGCCCAAATAATAATGGATAAATTATTGGATTATGGATAGGGACACCTGGGTGGCTCAGTTGGTTAAGTGTCTGACTTCAGCTCAGGTCATGATTCGTGAGTTTGAGCCCTGTGTCAGGTTCTGTGCTGACAGCTCAAAGCCTGGAGACTGCTTTGGATTCTGTGTCTCCCTCTCTCTCTGCTCCTCCCCTGCTCATTCTCTCTCTCTCTCTCTCCCTCTCTCTCTGAAATAAACATTAAATTTTTTAAATTATTGGATAATGGATAAATAAACAATGGCCCTCAAAGATATCAGATCCTAATCCCTGGAAGCTGTAAAAATCTCTCTATGGAAGAAAGTCTTTGGAGACATGATTAAATTAAAGAGCTTGTGATTGAGAGATTGTCCTGGGTTATCCAGGTGGGCCCTAAATGCAGTCACACATATTGTTATAAAAGGGAGGTGGAGGGAGATTTGACATGGAGGAAGAGAAGGTGAAGTGACCACGGAGGCACAGGCTGGGATGAGGAGACACAAGCCAAGGGATGCTGGCAGTCACCAGAAGTTGGAAGTGGCAAGGGACACTCTTCCCCAGAGTGTCCGGAGAAAGTGGGGGCCTGCTGACACCTTTGGTCTCATAAAACTGAGTTTTGGACTTCCAGTCTCCAAAACTGTGAGAAAATAAATTTAGGGTGTTTTAAACCAGCAAGTTTGTGGTAATTTGTTACAGAAGCCACAGCAAACTAATATACCAACTAAGACAAAAGATAACGACTTCAAAGTCTTTACCTTCTGGCAAAATCTAAGAATTTGCTAATTCTCCATAGCCAAGTTTTCCCTGCCTCTCATAAATTATAAATGCAGTAGTAAAGGACAAGGGAAGATTTAAGAATTCATGGATGGGGTATGCGCCTGGGTGGCTCACTCAGTTGAACATCTGACTTCGGCTCAGCTCATGATCCCATAGTTTGTAAGTTCAAGCCCCGTATTGGGCTCCCTGTTGTCAGTGCAGAGCCTGCTTCAGATCCTCTGCCCCTCCCCTCTCTCTCTGCCACTCCCCTGCTTGCACACACACTCTCTCTCTCTCTTTCAAAAATAAATAAAACCTTAAAAAAAAAAAAAAGAATTCATGGATGAGAAGTGCAATCTCTTTTGCCAAACTCCCATGCGAGCGTGGCCCATGCTGCCATGCCCTTGAACATGCCATGCCCTCAGCCTGGCACACCTGTCACCCCTTTCTCTCTATGGAGTTCACACTTGAGGCTCTTGCAGCACTGTTCCTGGGGAAGTTAGTGCTCCCTGCCCCTGCTGTGCTGGGGTCTCAACTCAGACTGCGTGTGGGCCATCAGGTAACATCAGTGAGTGAGGCAGCTGGGTGGGAGGACCAAGGAGCTTGCACACATCATCCTAGGGGCCACTGTGCACTATTCAGATCTATATAAGTCAGGGCTGCTCACCTTTGGATTTTTTCAAGAGAACTCGAAAATCCCCCCCGACTTAGGTGAAATCTCCCAATTACAAAATTGGGAGACTTATAAAAAATAAAGTTTAAGCCCTGCATACCGTAGCACAGAAAGATGTCTGCCGACTGGTTTGGCACAGAGTTACCAGGTGCCGGATGTCTTCCTCGGTGGCAGCTCACCTAATGAGTTACCCCGTCCCTGCTTGGTGAGCACCAGCCTCTCCAACTACTTGTCCCTTCTCTGAGGGGAGGCTTGTGCCCATGTGGCCCCAGGGCCTGGAAAACACAGGACCTCTCCAGGAGCAGCCGATCACTAGTGGCTCAGTGAAGAAGAAAGGAGAGGAGAAACAGGATATAATATAGTAACCTTCCTATTGGCACAGAAAAATGCCAGCGTCTCTCAGATGTCAACAAAACCACCTGTGAGTACCTGCCTGTCCCTCAGCTAGACTCTCAGCGCGCTGAAGCTCTGAGGGACAGCTTCTCACTGTGTGTGCAGGGTCAGCTAGCGCTGGGTCCGGTTTTCTGTGTGAGAAGCGGTGAAGGCAAAGGGAAGCAAGAGCCAACCTGAGCATGGTCATTAGCAGCTCAATGCCTGCTGACCCTGGCGGGAACAGCCCCAGAGATGTGACCACGTCAGAGGTGGCATTCGAGGTGGCAGACTGCAGCAGGGCCACAGCCAGCCCAGGGAGAAGACCCAAAACAGCTTCTGCTCAGACCCGGGTATGCACAGACCCCTTTCAGCTTCCTGTTCCCCAAACAGAAAGTGACGGCGGTAAGCGACTTCTTCCAGGAGCATGTTCACAATTTCTGCCCTGTCCCTGTACCAAGTACGCAATCATTCCCTTGACGTTTTTCTATAAAACTGACCAAGTGCTTGAAAACGGACATAAACGCTCCACAAAAGAGCACAACCATAAAAGCAAAACCAGTATCACTTGCCATACATACGCCGACCATAATCCAGAAAAAAACCCGAAAAACAAAAAACCCAGAACAACATTGTTTAATTCTAGCCAGCTGCTGCTGTGAAGCTTGACTTGGTACAGCCTTCTCTGTGCAAGGGGTGCTTGGCCAATGTTGGGGGGGCGTTGTAAATGACACATTAGCACCCAGGTAAAAAGGAAATAACTTTCCTACGCTGGAATTCCGAATCGCTCCCTGGCTTAACCAAGGGCTGCAGAATGGGATAGGCTAGTGAGGAGGCTTGATGTGAGGGCATAGGTAGTCACGGGGCCAAAGCTCATCCTTTCCTTAGGGGACAGGACAGGTGCGGCCCTTTAAGAAAGCAGAACAAGACCTCAGATTTGGAGACTGAGTCATCTCTCTCCACTAGGCTCAAAGAGACAATAGAGAAAGCTGGATGCAAGTAGGAATCAGGAAGGCAGGCTCGGGGAGAGAGGGGTCCCAGAAGGGCACCTGAGAAGAGGAAGGAGGGAAGCTGCCAGTGCTGGAAGGGCAGACCCTCCCAGAGCAAGGGTCTTGGCCAGTGCGCTAGTCTGGCTCTAAGGCCACCAGTTGGCCAAGGTCTTGAACACCACACTGAGGGGTTTTGAACCCAAAGGGCTTCTGGCAAAACTGCCACCTTTGCCTCCTATCTCTTCTCTCTCTCTCTGTCTCTCTCTCTCTCTCTCTCTGTCTCTCTCTCTCTGTCTCTCTCCTGCGGGGGAAACACCCACCGCAGCCCTACACATTGTTAATGATGCCCTGGAGCCCTGAGATATTTGCTGAAAGTTCAGGAATTTAAATTGATGCCTGCCTGGCCAGAGGGAGTCTGCATCCCAAAGCGGGCTGTGGGCTCCTTGGTCAGTGGTTCTTTTACACTTTCAGGAGCCGTTGGCCTCAGAAACAAGGCCTGTACAGATCTTGGCCCAGGGCTCACCGCTGGCACATCCCGCCCCGCTGCCCTCGGGGAAGTCAGACAGAGGCCTATCATGGCTTCAAAAGTTCCACCAGGTCCTCCAGCCACAGGAGGCTGGAATGGGTAACTGAATCCTACTCAAAAGAAAAAAAATAAAAAAGGCACAGTGACCTTTTGTCCCAGCACAAGTTCCCGGCCCTCTCCCCAGCCAGCGGAGGCGGCCCAGCCAGGAGAGTAAGGAATTGCAGATGTGCGCGCGGGGCCGCGGCCGCCCTCCCCACGGCCCAGGAGCCTCCCCGGACAGCACAGCGCCGAGTCGCCGCGGTGTTCAGGACGCGGGAGCCCAGTGCGGCTCCTGGTCCCCGACTCCTTCTCCCAGCTTTGCCTCGAGGTTCGCGGGTCGATGCTGCCTTTCCCCCCAAGCCTCGCAGAGAGCTCTTTCAGCAAAGAGGCGGCATCACGGAATCGACCCTTCTAGGGACAAGAGGTTCATTTTGGGACGCGAGGAGAACGCACAGGCCGTTCCCGAGGCACGAGGGCAGCTCCCGGCGCCACGGGGGCGAGTCGGCCGGTTGCCTGGAGAGTGCAGGTGAGGTCGCCCTCTCCTCGGTGGGCGCGGTGGACTGAGAGCAGGGCTGGGCTCTCAGCGCCCCGGATGCGTGAGCTTGCGCGTGGCAGCCTTTGTGGGCGACTTGGGGGCGCTTTTCTCACTGGATATGGGGAAGAAGGGCGGATACCTCGGTGTTGTGAGGGTCCAGGCCGGGGACTGGACCAATTCCGTCCCCTCCGTGGGCGGCCGGGCCGGGTCGCCCTCACCAAATCCGACACAAGGGCTGGGCGCCCTCCTGCCCCACCCCTCCTGGGACTCCCACTCGGAGACGGGGGTGGGGAGGGGTGGGGGGCGGCAGGAGGAGGCCCGGCCGGTGAAAGCCTCTAGTTCTAGGACCTGGACAGATCGATGCCCCCATCCCGCGCCACCTCCGAGTCCCCAGCACCCGGCTCTCGGGCCCAGGCGCCGAGAGACTGGGGAGGCAGAACCCGCGGCCACCACACTCACCGCACATCGTGGCTGCTGCTTGCACCCTTCGCGGCTCGGGGACTCTGCGCACTCTGGACACTCGAAATTCCGTGCGCGCCTGGCACTCCGCGGGCCTGGGCTCCCGCCGCTCGGCCTCAGGACCTTATAGCTCGGAGCCCTCCGCCAGAGGCGGGGCCGGGGCGGGGCCTCCTCCCGCCTGTCTGATCCCCATTGGTCCCCGGTTGTCGTGACAACGGTGGGGACTGGGCCCCCAGGAGTCTGGGAACTGGGTGAGGGGCGGCTCCCAGGCGAAAGTAACGCCTGGGCGTCGGGTCCTGGGTATGAACCCGGGGCGGCAGACGGTCTGAGTTCAGACTCAAGATTTAGCATTGGTCTAGGCGTGGGACGTTGGGCAGGGAGCTGAATTGCTTTGTGCTTCAGTTTGCCAGTCTGTAAAATGGGATGACAATGGAACCTACCTGCCTGGTCCTAGTGAGGATAAGGACGCAGAGCACAATGGCTGGCATAACGCACGTGTGCGCCCTTCTGTGTGCCAGGCTTCACCGAGGGCACCAGAATCGTGGTACACGGTAGGCTCTCCTCTCTGAGGAGAGAACTTTAAGGCCTGATTGATAAATGAGAAAACTGAGGCCTCTCCAAGGTGGAAAGGGACTTTGCCAAAACAGGGCAGCCGGAATTGACAAATTCTGGCGGTGGCAGAATTCGAACCCGGGATTTTCTGGAGAGCCGGAGCTGCAACATGAGGATTCCCCCAGGTCATGAGCCAAGCAGGGGCGACCCAGGGAACCACCCCCTCCCTGTGGCGCGCTGGCGGACCTGTCCTCAGCGCACTGGGCTGCGCGAGCCAGGGGCTTCTCCGCCCACCGGCCTGGAGCCCTATTCGCGCCCAGCTGTGAGTCACGGAGACCTGCGTTCCTCCGCCCCGGTTCCCGGCTGTCTCCTCCCCTCCCCACTGCGCTCCCGGCCTCGGTCTCCCGAGGAAGGTCACGAGAACTAGCCCAACATTGGCGTACTTTGAAGCCATCTGGTGTTTTTTTATTTTACTTAAAAAAATCTTGAAATTCTAAACAGATCCTCCTCAGTCGTGTTAGAGCACAAAACGAAGCTTTTTGCGTCTTGTCTCTGGCATTTTTTCCTGATGTAATTAATCTCTCTCTAACTTCACTGGGGCTCTGCAGGTCCTATAGGGAGAAGGTGTTTGGTTTACCCATTTGCCCGTTGAGGAAACCGAGGCTCAGCGACAGTAAGGAAGGGGTTTGGTTGAGTCATTTTGCTGGGAAATAGCGGAACCGGTTCTGGAGCAGCTGTGTTTGCCTTTTACCCTTCACTCTACAGGGTCATTTTCATTTCATTCATTCATTCATTCATTCACCCTAGCAGCTGCTTCATGCCTGTCCAGATGCTTAATGAGACTTAATGACGAGTGGGAATAATCCATTCCCGGCACTCATCTGGCACTTACAGAGTGGTGGGAGGCAGACAGTAATCCAGTGACACCAGGAGAACAAGACAATTCCTGGTGGGATTGGGAGACAGGGAGGGGGCAGGACAGGTTTGTGGGGAGGGTGCCAGGCTCTGCCTGGGACTGGGCTGGGGCTGGAGTTGGTACAGGTCCGTGTAGCCCCAGGGCAGGTTGCCAGGGGAAGTTAGAAGACTAGACAAGGGAAGTTCAGACAAGTGCACAGGACACTGCTGTGGGCGAAAGCAGGAGTCTGGAGTCTGGAGATGAGGCTGTTCTGCCCCAGCCCAGAGACAGGAACTCGAGTCCCACCCTATGTAACTGAGGTGGGAACAGCATGATGTCATCAGGCCCTCTGCTTAGCACCAACACACCAGGAACCCTGGGATCCATCCGGCTCCCCAGTGGGGAGTGGCATAGATGCTTGGACCCCTGTGGAGGTATCTGCAGCTGCTCACCCATTATCCTCCCTGCTTTGGGGACTAGTTATGTGACCTGGGCCACATAGCCACTAGATCCCCCGGCTCTGACACTGGTGCAGGGATCAGCATGTGACTCATGCTGGGCTCTTGACAACCTGCTCAGTGACATGGGGAAATCAGAAAAGATGAGCTTCTTCCTTGCCTGGTGGCACAGCTGGCTGGAGGGTAGACTGGTGATGGTGAGGACCCTCTTGTCAACTTTGGAGTGGGGGTGGGGATGTCCGAGAGTGAGGCAATCCAGAGCAAAACAGATCTCTAGGATGGAGAAAGATGCACATTTGTTTGTTTTAATTGTTATTTAAGGGTTTTTTTTTTAATGTTTTATTTATTTCTGAGCGCGAGAGAGAAAACATGAGCAGGGGAGGGTCAGAGAGAGAGGGAGACACAGAATCCAAAACAAGCTCCAGGCTCTGAGCTGGCAGTCAGCACAGAGCCTGACGTGGGGCTCGAACCCACGAGCTGTGAGATCATGACCTGAGCCGAAATCAGATGCTTAACAGACTGAGCCACCCAGGCCCCCTTGTTTTAATTTTATATTTGAGAGAGAAAGATGCAGAGAACGAGCAAGGGAGGTGTTGAGAGAAGGAGACAGAATCTGAGGCAGGCTCCAGGCTCTGAGCTGTCAGCACAGAACCTGATGTAGGGCTCGAACCCATGAGCAATGAGATCATGACCTAAGCCAGAGTCAGATGCTTAACCAACTGAGCTACCCAGTGCCCCACATTTGTTTTTTAAGAGACAGAGAGAGAGAGCACAAGCAGGGGAAAGGGGCAGAGGAAGAGAGAGAAAGACAGAGACAGAGACAATCTTAAGCAGGCTCGTCACTGAGCATAGAGCCTGATGTGAGGCCTGATCCCACGACCCTGAGATGATGACCTGAGTTGAAATCCAGAATCAGGACACTCAACCAACTAGGCAGCCCAGGGGCCCCGAAAATGCATATTTTTTTGAGCCCCTGGGTTTAGCTGGGGTGGAAGCCAGATGTATTCCTGGAATTCTTGGTATCAAGGCTCAATAAATTCCCATCTTTGCTGGAAGTGACTTCTGTCATTTGCAACCAAATTGAGTCTTGCCTCCTTCAACCTCCTGGAACTGTGATCTGAGGTTCAGGGAAGCAGTTAAGTAGCTGGTGGCCCCAGCCCATATAGTGCTGCTGATTAGAACCCCTTCCTCCTGCCCTCACCTCGTCAGGGCTCTGTCCTGGTACAACCCAGGAGGCCCCTGGGATTTAGTAAGATCAAACAATCTGCACAAAGTCACCCAGCCAGGAAGTAGGGGGCTGGTCTGGATCAGGAGGTCCAGGCACAGCCCCTCTCAGAAGAAGGAGGATGCAAGACCAGGGGTAGACATCTCCTCCAGCCTGGCTCCATACCTGTGCTCCCAGGAGAGCGAGCCTGAGTATTGAGCAGGAAACCCACAGGGCCTAGCTGATCATCATGGATGGCTCTGGCCCCACTTTCCAGGAGTGACCTTGACCCCCCTGGCCATCAGTAAGTAAGACCACGTGCTGGAATTGGAAAGAGCAGCTACAGACATGGTTTCTTAACCTGCCTGGTTTTTCCAGATCACAAGGCAACTTTTATATAACTGGGGGATTCGTTCACTGACTGGTTTCTCCAAAGAGCCCAGAGACCTGCTTCTTCCCCATGTAGTCCACTAAGTCTCACGGCTGTCCTGGTAGACACGGAATGTGCCTGCTAGCCTCGGGCCACAGGGTCCGTTCAGATTCTTTTTCTTCTTTACTATTTCCACTGGGGCCTGGAGAGGGTTATGGGGTCCCAGGTAGGATGAGGGCTGCCCTCAAACTCCTGCGGAAATCCTAGCTGGGCTTTCAACAGCTCCCATGCTGTCATCGGGGCCCTCACCGCCAGGCTCCACTCACCTCAGCTGGGCTGAGGCCACTGGGTGACCCTGGGTAGTCACCTGTTCCTCCAGATCTTATTGTTCCCTTCTGAGAGCAGAAATGCCAGGCAGACCTCTGTGTCAGCTCCTGAAGCCCCCAGAGACCCAGCCCTGCCAAGAGCTGTGCAGCACAGCCTTCCCCAGCTTCGGCAGAGTGTCCAGGGAGCCAAAGGGTACAGGGTGCTGAGACATGCAGCTGGAGCTCTGCGTTGGGTCACTTCATCCATGGGACGGGGTGAAAGATTCTTAGGGGACCTGGAATAGTGCCCATGGCATAGAAGGTTCAGGGAACCCAGGCTAGAGACCACCTGGGTGGAGTTCCTTGCCTCAGGGTGGCTGGTCCTCAGCTGAAATCTGTGGTGGGGAGCACAAGTAGAGCAAGGTATGAGGCCAGACCAGGGCTTGGGACAGGAGGCCATGTCCCCCAGACTCCTCCCTTCTCCCTTCTATGGGGTTAGGCTGGGGTGGGGTAGATGGCGGTGTGGTGGGGGGCAAAGGTGCAGGGCTAGGGAGGGTCTGAAGGACTGGCCTGGGACCGAGGTTCAAGGACAGCCAGCAATGGAGATCTGGATGGGAAATTGAGGCAGGAATTCTGCCCTGAGTGTAGGCCTGGAGAGGGTAGGCCTCAGGAGGTTGGCTGGTGCGAGAAGGGAAGGGTTGTCCAGCTCATTTCAGGCCACCAGATGGCTGCGCCCCACTGCCCCCACCCCCGCCACCTCCCTCAACGTCAGCATTGAGGCAAGAGAGGCCCTCCCCTCCCTTTCAGCTCAGCACGGAGGTGACTTTTCTAAAGAGTTCCTTGGAGCCACAAACTTTTTCCACTTTCTTTCTCTCTCCTACAGGGACTGAGGAGGAGTTCTGTCACAAGTCTGAACTCCTGTATTCTTTTATAACTATAAGTTAATTTAAAAAATAATAAAGCTAATTATAGATCTGTATAACTTTATCTTTCCAGTAGAGATACACATTCATATTAAGAAATAACTTTAGAAATCTTGCAAGGGTTAATCCTGTCAACTTGTTTTTACAACCGCCCCAAAATAATATTCTTTGCATTGGTAATTCATTATTTAAACAATAATATGGTCATACCACAAATACTGTTTTGTAGCCAGAGTTTGACCTCTGGATTAGAAAGAATTAATTGTGGGTGCATCTGGGTGGCTCAGTCAGTTAGGTGTCTGACTCTTGATTTTGGCTCAGGTCACAGTCTCACACACAGTTTATGAGTTCAAGCCCCATAGCCAGCTCTGTGCTGATAGCATGGAGCCTGCTTAGGATTCTCTC